TTAACAATATAAAAGACACACATACCACTATTAGAAGATTAGAATCAAGACCAAAAGTTTCAAAAGCTGGTAGCCAATGTTAGACTTTTAAATAGTTACTGAATTTTAAATGAAGAGCCTGCCTGGAAAAGCACTGGGCATGAGATTCCTGCAGGTGACAAAGCTTACTCTTTATATTGCGAATTTTTCTTCTTGATGCTCATCTCTTTCTTAAAAGGCCAGCTATAGGAAAAGGTCATATTAAAAATTTAAAGTATGAACTTTATTAAATTTGAGGGGATGGGAGAGAAGATGGCATGCAGGGACCCTATTTTCATATAAAAATGCTCCATTATATTATTAATACCTACATTCCATTTCTATATGACATTGTGTTCTTATTGAAAATTCAGATTAATTGCCCACTTGCAAACAGTAGCCCCAGGAGTATATGCATACATATATGTGTGCGTATGTGTGTGCATATATATATTATATATGCACACACATATATATATTATATATGCACACATATAAATATATAATATATATGCACACACATCTGATTCTAAGGATCACGAATGCCAAAAAGGGCATTGCTACAGACTTTCCATGCAAGACCCTATCGATTTGCTGCTTCATCTGAGATGATGTTTTTGAGAATCAGATTTAAAAAAAAGGAATGCAGATGGAAAAAGTTCTTTCCTCTCCCCATTTTCAAAAAGCAAATTCTATGTTATACAGCAAGGAAAGCATAATATAGAAAAAAATCCAGAAAATCGTCTGATCCATGCTTTTTTTTTTTTTTTTTTTTTTTACAATTTTGTTCTGTAGCATTAAGCATGTCTTAACCGTTTTTCTTCTGTAAAATAACACTAACTCTAAATTAACATAGAAAGGGAGGAAAAGGAGGGAATACATAATTCTCAGTAATTCATTCAGCATATGCAAGTGCGCAGAACAACTAAAATATTTTTAAAGACTTCAGTCAGTATCATTGGCTAACATCAGATGAACTGTTCTAAACTAATTGTCATGTTAAGCGTATGCRGAACCAAGTAATTAAGTCATGTTAAGTAGTTACAATATTAAGGAAATACATAAACAATGTCTGTGATCATTTTTAGACTAGTCAAATCAATCATATGGGATTTTGATGGGCCTTCAAAACAGAAAAATGAGAAAGCAATTTTACCAAACGCCTTAAGAAATCCTGGATGGAGAATTACATAATGGAAAATTGCAACAAACAATCTCTTCTTCCTTTATCCAAACTGATCATTTGGGCGAGGAAAGGCTATTTCAAAACACTTTCTTTCATCTAGAATTCAATAAYAAAGTTTTTTAGAAGCTGTTTCTTTCCCCAAAAAAGTAATGAGAGCTTAGTCTGGTATTCCCTCCGCCTTTATGCGATAACATTGAATTTGTACAAAAACACCTTAATGGTGATAATAAGAAAGACTAAACACCATAATGAAATTTCTTGAGGCTTCGTAATAACAATAGTATTTGTTTCTTAATAATTCCATTAATATCTTTTTCTTTTTTTAACTAAAATATCTATGTTGACAGTGCTGGGGCATCTTAGGACCTATTTCCCTCTTTCTCAAATGAAGTTGTATTGAGATCAGTATTAATAATAAGGGTTTGCAAATATGCTAGGGAAAAAAAAAAAAAAAGACAGCCAGAAGCTTCTCTCACCACAGGTCCTAAGCAGAAGTGGAAGGAGGGTCACTGCAAGCGTGATGCAGGGCCCTGAGCTTCTCCCTTAGCCTGCAAATGCAAATRGCACACACCAAAAACGGAGAAGGACAAAGAAGTTTCAAGTCAAAGACTCCAAAGAACAGGCCAGTATTCAGGCTGCCTCCAAAACCACAGTTCCCCCACCCAACATGTTCTCCCCAWGATCGGCAAATACAGAAGCATGGAAAAGACTTACTAGGAGGGATGTTGGGAAAGATGCAGAGATAGACTAACATATGGTGAGTTTCTTTCCATCTTCCTCCTGAATTTGGTTTCAAAGCTTGTATAGTGCTACAGGACACTGAACAGACATCCATTTTCATCAGATGTCTCCCAATCATGTAACAAACTCCAGAGAAATTGTCTTTTGGGGGTCCTCATCCCCAAAACCTTCTGCTAAACTCACCCATCATAGGCTTCACTTTCACATAATCCAGCCTTTTTTACCGCCAAATCTTTTCTTTCAGTTCTAGTTCTCACTTCCCTAGTTCAATCTCTACTTACATTTTTTGCCTCTAAATTCTGCTTAATGTTCCCTACCAGCGGATTCAGTGTTTCACCACTTTCTCCCCCTCATATTTAAAAGATCCTTATTTCTACCTTTCTCAGCCTCTATTTTTTCCCTTTGCCACCGTTGACCCCAAAACACAGTCCCTTTCTCTATCTGACCCCATAGTCTCTGATCTCTCCATTCCCTCTCCTTCACAGTTCAAAGTGGACACTCAAGGCAAAAAGCTAGAGCCAGAACAGCTGCTTTGGAACAGCTATAAGGAGCTACTGTGAAAGGTCTAAACACACCGAATTAAGGAGCAGACCAGATGACAACTTGGTATCTCGTGCTTAAAGATTTTAAGTGCAAAGTAGATCCTTGCTATAAGGATCTATATTATAAATATATATAGTATATATCCTTATATATACTATATATACTAGAAACATACTACTTATACTGTTATACTATAAACAAACAAAAAGGCAAAACAATTCACACAGACACGAGCTCCCCATATTTTCCAAATTAAACCTCTACCAAGCTGAAATTACACTTTGCTGGATATCTGTACCCATTATGTCAAAAGTAGTGATTTATTATTGGAGGATAACTGTAAATACTGGACTAGATAAAGTAGTTTTATAGAAAATAAATTGCATTCTAAACAAAAAAAAAGAAAAAAAAATAGGTAGAATCAGTGATTTTGCCAGACCTGATAGTTTTTCCTTATGCTACTATATTCTTGATATCTTACTTGCAAGTGAACACCATACATTTTAAGAGGACTTCAAGTTATAGCACCTGCATTCAGCTCTGGAAAATCTGTTGTTGCTTGGTACACAAACAACCCTCAAGAGTTCAGAAATCCCAAGATAAGAGGTATGTGAAGAATCTTAAAACATTCATACAGGATAGACAAGTATTCCTATAGTTAAAAGTATATTGTTTGAAATTATATCTTGTTTTTTATTTCTAGGTTTTACAGAATTTTATGAAATGTAGAATTGCATGCATTAACTTTCTGCATTAACATCTCTACCACATTTCTCATGAGAAGTATTCATGTTTATGCAGTCTACTTCTGGTAAAAGGGGAAAAAAATTACAAAAAAAGTAATCRGGCTACTTCCCAGCAGCCAAATAAGCCTCAGATGAATTAGTAAAAGCTTTATGCACATATATTAAGAAAAAAAGTCATCAACCAATCAGGACCATACATGCCATCCACATTCAGCAGCTGACTGAATGTATACACTGTAACACACAACAAAATACTAAATTAAGAGAAGTTAGTGCAAAAAAAAAGAACCGAGTTCTATCTGACGGCTCTTAAATACATCAGACTTGCAACTTTCCAGGAACTGCTCCATACCAGCTAAGCTGGTTATTTGCATATTATTTAGCATAGACAGCAGACGGARTTTTACCTATGCACGTTAATGCCACTCTGCTGCAAGGGATCTTCTGGGCCATCAAGAACAAGTTGTTCTTGTCAGAGGCAACACTCTACTGAATTCCTTTCACAAACTAACCAAGTTCCATGAAAAAAAACAGCACTTAGCTCTTTTACGAAGCCTTCTAGAGTTCCCAAGCTTTGAAATATGATTGCTTTCATTTTCAGGAACCTTCCTCTAACTTCATCATTAAGTTTGTAGACTGTTTACCTCCATTTATTTCAACACTGGCTTGAAGATTTCCTTTCTGTCTTAGCATTGTCTCTGCCCCTATTCACCTCATCACCATCTCAGTCTCCTTTTACACATCCCGACACTATTCTAAAACAAAACAAGCAAGAAAACATCTTCACTTTAGTCCCTTCTCATGAAAAGACATTCTCCATCCTGCCCGGCTTGGGCAGCCCGTCTTCACAACTTCTCTAAAGGAATTCATTTTTGTCTCRAACAAGGATAAGTCACACCTACACACAGTAAAGCACACAGGGATTCTTTCATCAAGGCTTTCTACAATAGCATTAGTATCTCCCCTACTTGAAATATTGCTCCAGATAAATCACAATAYGTCTCTTTGCCTTAGCTGGAGAAACAACATTCACACCCTACTGTAATCAACTATTACCCTTGTGGGGAATTAGACTAGAAAACATCAATACCAAAGATGCAGAACAGAAATGAGCAAAAACATTTTGTAAAGGTCTGTCACAGTGCACCGAAGGGAAACTCTAATCCTGCAACATCCACTTGTGCATGTTATATTCCATGATTGGCGCTAAATGTAGGGTGAGGGTAGAGCGGGAGGGCAGCTGGGACAAGACGAGCAAGAAAAGCTAATCCTGTATAAGAACAAAAAATAAATAAATAAATCTGAGCTGCTAAACCCCTTAGCACATATGGACAGTTTAAGTGTCAGTATAAGCTGCCTCTGCGAACCCAGGAAGCGCTGGAATGCACAGAAAGCRCCGGAGTGCACAAAAAGCACCAGGCAAGAGAAGGTTCAGACCTCAGTTACAACAACATAACAGGATTAAGTGGAGAGAAAAAGCAAAGCAAAAGAAAGCTATAACCATATTTTAATGCATAAATTCCTTATTGCCATTTTTAGTTGACAAATATCTATTTCATAGCAAAACAAGATCATAGGAACAGCTGGATGGTAGTTTTAAGCTCAAATGAACCAGCGGCACATGCTGACAAGTCATCTCTCTGATTGCTTTTGAATGGCAGCACATGCAGATTTATTCTCTGCCATAAATTAGAACAATTATTTCTCTGTAGTTCGGTTTTTATTTCAGACAGTGAACCCTTGCACACATTTTTTTAAAAGGATATCTTCCCTTTCCTTGATGATAAGTTCATTCTGTTCCTCTAGCTGTCTGATCTTCTTCTCAAATGACTCCTGCTCGGCTTTCAGCCGCTCTTCTGTCACCTCCTTTTCTTCACTTACCCTGAAAAGAAATGGAGAAAAAATAAAGGCCCTGTCAAGGTGGAAAAAAAAGATATATAGATATACACATTTACTTATTAAAAAAAAGTGTGTGTGTGTGTGTGTATATATACACATATATATATGTGTGTGTGTGTGTGTGTGTGTGTGTGTGTATACATACGCACAGGTGGTGGAGATTTTTTGTTTTGTTTTTAAACATATGTACCTACAATGCCTGACTTCCAACTCTGCTTTCCAGTTAAATGGATCTTACCCTCATCGCCCTTAAGCAGGATATTTGTCATATGGTTTATTTTATTATATTGGAAGTTGTATATGACTTCACGCAATAAATAAATTTCAGAGACACTGGTCTTGSTAGAATACACACATTAAAAAGCTGCATGGAACTATAAAGCGAGGGTCTGAGCCCACAACTAGATCTGTGCAGCCCACTTCCCTGCAGCCACAATGAAGACCCTGGGATCTATCCAAGCCCATGGCACGTACACAGAAACCACAACTGGCAAAGCTTACTTGCCAAGACAGAAAAAATTTTCTCTCCTTGTTCTTAGCCCTTAAGCAAACATGTCCTGGCACATTCACTTACCAAACATGAGTCCAAGAAAAGAGCCATTCTTCTTGTCAGCTTTCTCCAAACAAAACAGTTTGTCATCTCCCAGACATCTTATAAAATTTACACTTGCGACTTGATTATTTTATTTTGTCTGGGCTGTGGCACCCTACATCTTGCTGCTTGGATCAAGATTGGATCAAGATTAAAAGATGACAATATGAAGAAGGTTTACAATGATCATTTTTTCTGAATTTCAAGAGCAGGCTACAAAAACAATTACTCTGGAATCACACAGGCAAGAAGGCCAGAGAATCTCATATCTATGCTAAAACCATGGCTTGGGATTCATRGTTCTAGGCAAGTAGTATCCACAAAAATGCTAGAGTAATGAGCTYGGACTAACAAATACTATTGCTCTGCACTTGGGCAGTTCCTGTTACTAGAGGCTCTTAAAATGTAGCCTTTATGTTGATCTAACAGCTGCTGCAACTTAAGTGATCGGAGAGCAAAGCAGTACAGCTCTCAGAAAACTTTAAATCTTGACTTCCTTTAATTAAAACAATCCTACAGAAAGAGGAAAAGGAGAGAAAAAAATGTGCATTGGACTATGCTTTCCATTTATCCCTTCAGACCCACTGACATTCTTAACAGAGAGAAGCCCATTCAGGGATTCAACCATCCATTCGACATCATGACTTCTCCCTCAGGAGGACACAGATGTGTTTTGACATTCCAGTGGAAACAACATAAATGCAACAATTGGGTCAGCACTCTGGGGTAAGGTATGGACAGGTTATATCCTCTCACTGCAAGATCAACCACAGCCCTTGCCAGAACAGCTCAAACTACATCAAGTTGGAAATGAATAATACTGAAACTCAAACTCTTTCTCTACAAACTCGAAGGCAGAAAAAAAAAATCTAGCATAGAATTAGATCCTGTAAATGAGGGCAGTTTGAAAGTTCAGACGAAGCTTGATTAGAAATTTTCTCAATTACACAAAAAGCCACAGCTTTTAAAAGGCAGCAATGGGCTCTCCTTATTTCCCACGTGCAGTTACAGGTACAGTATAAGTGCCAGAAGCTGCAGACAGGTTTTTGTAGCTAGCCAACACCAGCTGGTTATATCTGGAGCTATAAGCTGTGTGACTACAGCATGTATGCCCCATCCCCATATACAATCAGTGAACAAACACAGAATGATCCCTGCTTCTTAGAGTAAAAAAAGTAAAGAAAGAATAAGAGTCATCAAGTWGAAGATGACAATGAAAACTAATGACTGCACAAGTGGAAGCCGGAAGGAAGCAAGAACAGAAGGGAAAAATAACAGAAGAGAGAGCAAGTCCTATTTCCAGGCACTACAGAAGGAACAATGCTTGCTCAATAACTGCAGGAGTGATGTTGCATTAGAAGAACATTCAGGACAAGGGCAACACAGGGCTGGCTTGATGCCGTAGAATATTAAAATCCAAGAAAATACTACCTTAAGAAATAACTGAGTCTAAAGGCACTGCATAAAACCTAGCAGGCTTTGCCCATCTCTGGATTCTGCCGTTTGCCTCAGTCTGCACTGCAATCACATGCTGTGCTCGTACTCAACAAGGCCGACGGCCAGTTGTCACATTCCCAGCCMCAGGAATATATTGCATCACATAACTTACGCAGTGAATGACTGAGAACACTAAGTGATCTTGCAAGAACCGTGGCAATATGTGCATATGTATCACAAAGCAGGAGACAGCCCAGAAAGGGCAGGCAGTTAGAAGACAGTTATTCCTAAGAGGTGACAAATGGAAGTTAGAGAAAAGGAATACAACATCAACAGATTAGGCTGAATCTACRGTAAGGCCTAGACAAAGCTCAGTGAGGAGCGGGTTGTTGTTTGGCTTTCACATAAATATATACACATATATTCACTTATTCTATTCTGTTCTCTTCTGACAGTAGAGAACAGAAACTGTTCTGCAGAACTAGGAAAGACTTGACTGTTGCCAAGCAGAAATACTACAGGGCTCGCAGAGCTCTTGGAAAGGATTTTTGCTGCTTTCCATCGGCTCACGATCAGAAAAGAGCAGCAAAAGACAGACACCCAGCTACAGAAGACACAACCTCTCCACGGGGCAAGGCTTCCGTGCTTGGCTCCACTGTCACCCTTCRCAGAAGGAAATGGGGGGCTGAGTGCTGAGAGCAAGGCTGGCAGCTCGGTAAAACGGGGTCTGCCCCTCGGCGCCCGCAGCGTTTCCTTGCACGCGATGCACGCCCCACTCGTGGCACAACACACGCTGTCCTTGCTCCAGATTCCCTGCACAGTCACACTTACAAGATTAGTAACTGTAGGTGGATTTAAAAGGTCTTAATTTTATTTTGCAGGAGCCTCTGTAGAAAAAGAAAAATTCATGATGCAGATAGCTGACAGAAACCTTTCCTGTGGCATCAGCCTTATGAGTCAAATGCACTGTCAGCTGCACTCGTTATTAGGCGCTCCTGAGCACTCCGCTGCTGCAGCAGTTCCGACTGCATGATCTGAGGAAGGGCTTGAGGATCAAGTTTACTTGATGACACTAAGTCACTCCAATTAACAAGCAGRTGGATGCTCTCCAGGTACAATTGCTGAAGCATTGCACAGGTCAACAGCGCTTGAAGTTTTCTGTGTGTAATGAAAAACTGGCATGGCACAAAAAAAAAAAAACACCTCGAAAGTCCTGCCAGGAAGAGCTTAGAAACTTCACAAAACAAGTTTGTACTGATACAAAGGAAATTTTACCTGATAAAGGAACTAAAAGAAAATAACAATTTCTACTTTTGAAAAATAGCAGCAAAAACTGAGCTTTTAACAAGTGAAATGGAAATTCAATGGGAACTGTGGCTGAACAAGTTGAGAGAGGGAAGGAGATGGAAGGAAAAGGTCTCATGCCAGAGCAGATCACAACATGCTTGTGACAGAAAGGGGCAATAAAATGACACTTAACACTGGATCTGTAGGGAGCAGAGTATCCATTTCTTGTCCAAGCATGCTCTTCACAAATCTGATATGCTTTGCCCGAGTGTCACAGGCAATCTGTATAAATAATTTAAAAAAAAAAAAAAAAAAAAAAAGCCCTAACAACCACAAGGTATAATTGAAACTGCTGCACGAGTAAATTTTATGATAGGCAGCTTGCAAAGTAATATAAAACAAGATCTCACAGCATGAACTTATAGCTACAAATGACTTTTTAAGTACAAAAGGTAGATGTGATTGGTGATGCAATAACCTCAGGCATCTTCTACCTATCAACAAGTAGTAATTTCCCAGCAAGCCTAACGATGTGTCTTATCTGCAGTGTCACTGCCTGACCAATTAGCAGAACAACAGCACAATGTTGTCTCCTCAAGTAGCACGTGTGCAAAACACACATACAGACATTCACACTGATGTTAAAAAACAGGTAACAAAACAAATAAAAATGAGATGAGAGGACCCGGGAGAGAATGCAGCCCAAAAAAACAAAACCTGCAGATTTGTTTAAGTGGCTTCCACAAGAAAGTTGCCCTTCAAAGAGTCCAAGTGCTGGGAGGAAGACACTGACACACACTCCAATAGTTTCACTAACCTCATATGTAATGATTTCTCTGTTCTGTAATTAAATGAAATTTTCTTTTTTATTCCAGTTCTCACCTTTTGTCAGAAAATTTCAGTTTTAATTCATCAAGCTCATATTAGTACCAGGCAAAAACGTTTGCAAAAGCAGTCCTAGCAGGCAGGCTCACAGTGCCCACAGCCCAGGAGCAGCTCGGGAATCCAAGGTCTTGGGAAGGAGGAAGCATCTCGTCAATGAGGAGCAAAGGTCCATCAGAAGGCGTTTTTGCCGGCTGTCAAGGACATGTCATCCAGGGCAGGCAGTGGTCTGTGTATGACAGCAAAAAGCCCCTTCGCTCTCATTTTGAAAAGAACAAGCACTCCCTCCTTTAGGTGAAGACAGGCATCATCTTACCTTCCTACCCCAATTCCTTTTGAAGATTTGCCAGGATGACATGAAACCAGATTTCTCCAAGTACTTGCTTTAGAGAAGTTAAGGTTAGATACCAGTTCTCATCACTAGGAGCAGAATGGTTCGTGACAATTTCTTWTATTACTTTTTTTCCATTCATTCAAGAGAAATTTGCATATCTGGGCTGTAACTTAACTGTGCAAGGAAGGAAGAGCATCCATGATGTACATGCCGTAGCAGAAGCCAGAAAGTCACACCACTATAGCCATATACCACAGTTGGAATCAAGACATACATGCATTAAAACATATCCACACTCTCTTCGCACAGAAAGTTAAGCCTCACCATTCCATTAATGCTGAGTTGAAAAAGGGTCTCAAAACATGCATATAACTTAGAACATTACACTCCCGAGTACCTTGTAACCACGCTCAGCATGGTGTTGAGCCATTTATTAGTGCACAACAGTCAACTGGCTGGCTCCCAAGGGACCTTGCACTGCTCCCTCTTGGAAGAGCCTAATGTGTCCTGACACCAGCACAGAGAACAAGAGCAGGAATCTTTCAGTGTCCTCGCCATGTCACTGCTCATTTCATTGCATAAGCTGATGACTGTTTCACGAGTTTCCTGCTGTAACAAAAGTTCAGAAAAAGGCTCTTTCCACCTCCTCCCCCCTTAAGACCACCCTACATGTACGGTAATAATTAAAACCCTAGCTGATTACACTCAAAATTTTCCCATTTATAAACAAAGCCCTTCAGAATGAGCTTATTATACCCAGAGATTACACCACAAAGCAAAACATCTGAGAAGAATGTACTGGCACAATCAAAGAAAAAAGTCTACAACATTCAAGTCTAAAGATTCAGTTTGTCTCGGAGGGAAGATGGACTGGATGTGTTCAGRGAAGAACTAAATAATGCTTAGATTTACCAGTGGCAGCACAGAGCAAAAACTACGATTATTTAGCCCAGAAAGGTGGATTAGAGAGGATACAGCTGAGTTCTTTCTTTTGACTCAGGCTCAAAATTCAATTTCATCAAGGCCCTAACTGCTAATGTGCTGCCAACCGCAGGGCATCACAGTCAAGCACAGGACCCGCATCTTTTCAACAGGACCCGCATCTTTTCAAGAGAGAAGATGATAATATTGGTAGCATTAAATTTTGCTCACACCAAGGCAAACATCTCACGTGGCTCAAGCAAAACATGGCTGAAATTCAAGCCCTAGATATTAATCATATTTTGTCACTGACAAAAACAATTTTACCACTTCATAACTTCTTTGACGCAGTCCCAAATATTGACTGTTTGCAATAAATGTACAGCAATTGCTCTCAGCTACCATTATTTTCATTCAAGAAATAAGGAATAGTGAAATATAGCTCTGGTCAAGTGATACTTTTATTATTCCAAGTATTTATTGCAGGACAGTGTTCTGGAAAACTTCCATCATTCAGGTGTTTTTTTTCTTTTCTTTTTCCTCTGAAATAGCAGGGAATGTTCTACCACATGTAAAAACCTTCCRGAATTGCCCAACTAGGCATGAAAAGTTAAAAGATGTAAAGTTTTTAAAAAGTGACGAGTTTAGCAGAATTAAAGTTTAACTTCCCTATTACCCTGCAAAGGTCTTTTAATTACATCTAATAAAAGTATGATTAGGTATAAAAATAAAAGAGGACTAAGTATAAAATAATAGTGTCCCACTAATTTTACGTTTCAAAATTAATGTTGCCGCACTTTCTATTTTTCTTCGAAGAAATGTCAGGCAAAAATATCAAGCTGTCCTCAGGGAAAAATCAAGAGCATCGGAGATTTAAGAGGAATCCCATGCTCAAATGAGTTAGTGTACTAGTATTCACTAGAGAGCAGTGTATTATGAGGAACAATGTAATAAAAGGTTCTTTTTAATATGAGAATATACCTCTATGCATGCACAGTGGCAGCAGTGTCCGAATTGCTTCAACATTTGACAATTTGCAGACAGCCTTCTCAGTAATCTAGCCTTTATGACATCCCTATCTAGACACCTCCTAACACATGGCAAGATAAAATAGAGCTGCAAGCATGAAGAATTTCAGAAGCAACTAAAATACCATGTAAAAAGAACACTTATATTAGTGTAAATTATTAGCAGGAAAATGGCCATTTGGATGAGGATAATCAAAGAGAAAATACTCATGGCTGCACCAGTGACTTGTTATATGACCTTGATAAGCAAGTTCATTTCTCTGTTCCATTTTTCCAATATAAAAGGAAAAAAGAAAAAAGAGTAGTATTATGCGTCAGTTGAGACAAAGCAGTTGTTCAGTAGCTTAGAAATTTTATTCTGTTCCAGAAAAACTTTAGATTCTAAGGATTTATGTAGGTAATCTCATTTCACAAGTTAGCATTCCTAAGTGCTTTGAAAAAAACCTACCCATGTCCTGTGTGCCTTTCTCAGCATTATAACCATTCCRTAAGAGGATTCCCAGATAGTCTGAAACCTAAGGAAGATGGAAGGGGGACTCTCCACTCGCATTCAACCAATCTTGCACATCACTCACCTTTGTGAATGCAACTAGCACYGAAATGAAACTCACAAATAACCTTTTCCTAAAGTTGAGACACTTCAGTCTCTCAATGAGCAGGAGAAACTTGAAATTAAACACAGCAAAACAAGTGAAGTTTGGCAAAGGAAATTAAAATCACACTCAGCTCTATTGCTCTGTACAAGCATGGATAAATACAGAGAGCACAATTCTGCCCCAAGATCTCTGATCCACCTTTAATGTGGAATTCCATATAAATGTTCACTCRTCAAATAAGAAGTCTGAGTTTTGTAACACTTGTGGTTTCTGAAAAACAACATATATTTACATAAAGTAAACAATCTGAGCAACAAACAGAACTCTAGCCCTGTAACTAGGTTTATATGGATGAACTACTGCAGGTCACAAAATGAGCTCATGTTTTCATTTTGTTTTGGAGATTTCTGATCAGGAAACAAAAAAATTCATCTGGCCACTTCATTGCTCATACCTTATCCAGCAAGAAAAAGTTATCTTACACAAATAAACAGCTCCATTATGCAGTTCTACGTTGCTTGATGTTAATGAGAAGAATGACTCTCCTTAAATATAATGCGTTTTCAAGTAATGCTTATTCTCACCTGGCAAGTTCTTTAATTAAGTTTGCAATACGTCTCTTGTCCTCAGGACATAAATCCTTTAAAGAAGCACTCTTCATTCCTCCATCATTAGTGACCTGAAAATTGAAATCCACATTTTAGACAGTGTTTTTTCAAGAACAACAAGCACTTCATAAGATATTAAAGGTATTCAAAATCTAATAATTACAAGTTGAAGTTCGACAAATTCCAACTAAAAATGTGTATTTTCTAGCTGTAAGTACAGTTCAGTAAAACAAGTTACAAAATTGTGGAGAAATCTAAGGGGGTTTGTAAACCAAATGCAAGCTGCTTGCTTTAATACTAAGCATGCTAGATTAATTTTCAAGACTTATGTCATTCACTGCTTCATACTTAAAATGTAACTGCTACTTCTGACTTGGAAATCTAGTGTAGAGACATCCAGTCCAGGACCAGAACTTTATTATATTGAGTTTCCMAGACACAGAGCAAAACAAAACATTTTGCCTTAGTGTTCATGAAAAACATACAAAACAGCAAAAAGTAAATATCATGTATTATGAGAAGATAAATCTTCAGGTCAAAAGAGTTTTCAATACAGGAAATGACATAGCCTTTTTACTGCATTGTTCAGTCATTTCTTACTACTCTTTCTCAAAAGGACTTTAAATATATTTCGGCATTTCAGTTCTTTTAATGCATACCTTTATCGCACTGAAAGCCACATTTGTTACCAATGTCCACCAGAGGGCATATTACAGCTCACATTTGCAACAGTCCCTTGTATTAAATCGTAGTCATTACCTATTTTGGATGTTTCAAAGCAGAAATCCTTCTTAGGTTTAAATCTCTTTGATTTATCAAAACCAACTGTAGTCAGTGACACAGTAAGCCAGTGCTAGTGATATACAACAAAAGAAGAATCTCAAGATAAAAGGAACAAAAAGAATTATGCTAATTTGTCCAAGATTCAGAGAATTTAAATATTTCCACGTAATCTGACTTGTTTATCTTTAGTTTAGACACTTTAAAGTGTATCAAACGTCTCTGAGGACATATGGTGCATAATGCAGGATACCAGAATGCTGCTCCAAAAGCCGGGGACAACTTGTCCAAGTTCACACAATGCAGCACAGAGCAACCCCTGACCACACAAAGCAAAGCCCAGGCTTCCCTCCCTTCATTGCCAGCAGTGGCAGCTGATCTACACACATTAGAGAGGAGGCACCCCCTAATTGCTTCTCCAACAGTGGCTTAAAACAATTAAGTGACTATGCAGGTTTTGAAAGACAAAAATGATGATTTTATGCATAGGGTTGTTACACCCACATGGCCCTTCAGTACACCCTTCTCCACCTTAAAAAAGAATCCTTGGAAAAGAAGTTTCACAAGGCAAAGTAAACTTCAGTGCTTTGCAAGGGGACATCTTCTTCCACAGCTTCCTTCCCAAACACACACTATTTACAGTCATAAGCTATTATACGAAGTTAGCATATAACTTCAGCTAGACATATAGTTGAAGGTTTGCTTCCCAGTCTAAAAACAGCTGATATTTTTAGAAGAAAAACTAATAGCTGGAAGAACTTATTTAAAAAGTCACTTTTAACTCAGAAAAATTGACAATGCAGAAGCTTTTACTAAGCAGACCTTTACAGAAGGTACTCTACAGCTTCCTCAAGCCACTCCCCAAAGCCCTATACATATTCTTAAACAGATTTGCAGGATGAAAAAGAAAATCTGAAAAGATTCTGTGCTTTTGTATCGCTCACGCATGGCAAAGGGAACCCACAAATGCTCAGAGGCAGGTTTATATGACTGCACTGTAAAAACAGATCTGTGCAATGATGCAGAGTTACAGCTCCATTGCAAAACGCAGTAAGCAAGACAGAGGCCAAGACTATAATCTGTCCAGATTTCTATACGTTCTACACAGCTTAGCCTAGAACACAGCTCCCTATCTCAGTAATTTTCRAGATGAAATATCCTATATAACTGGAAAATATATTCCACACCCTGGAAGCCAGCAATGTGAGTGGAAGACAACTCCYGTCAAACAACAAGGAGGAAGATGGAAAATTTTGGCCAAGAACARTATAGCAAACCAGTGATTTATTAGAAGTGGCAGAAAAGCTCCAGAGCTACCATTACCTTTTTGAAACCTTCTCAACAACTCTCAAACTTCTAGGTAGTACCCAATCTGTACTGAATGGGTAGTACCCATTCASTATCTGTCCCAATGAGGAAAAGGTCAATCAGTTTTGCTAGAACTCAATCTCACTCGATGAGAGTGAGATTCAATCCCTTCTCTTCAGTAGAGGATCCTGGTAAATCACACAGACAAGCCACCTAGCAGGACAACAGCGTGGAGTTTTTCMAAATAAAACAATCAGTTCTCCCTGAGGGCACGTAACACACCTGAAGAAAATGAGTTWTGGTCATCAAAACTCCTCGTAAAGAAGCTTTGAGAAACTTCACTCTTCTGTAGCAACCAAAACTTACTTCTTCTCTTTGCTCCAACTAATTCAGAGTTTTCCTTCAAAATAGTTAATTGGATAGTCAATGTGCTATCCAAGTCATAGCCTCTTTCAACAGATTCCTAAATATTACAAGATCTAGCAGCACACAGAACAACCTTCCAAAGGAAACCTCGCTGCTTGGAAACTTCKAATGCAGTAAGTGGTAGCAAAATCATCACTTGTCCCAGGCATAGACTAGACAACCTACTAAGTTGATGTCCTCCTGACAGTTACTTCTATCACTAAGCTGACTTTTTAACATTTATTATCAAACATGGAAAGTTATTTTTATGTTACTAACACAAGTGATTACAGGAAAAAGGTCTGAAAAACTTTTCCAAGACCTGTTTCTAAGGCATATGATTAGGACAGTGAAACCAAGTAGACTGAAACCTCAGTCCTCTGTCTTTGACTAACATTGCTTTGGAGCTGCTCAGAGCTATTCTACCYATACATTTACCTATATGTTTTTTATATAGTCTCAGTTCTAAGTCACTTAAATAAATTAGTCTTTTAGCCTTTGTTCACTTGGCAGGCCATTTCAGTGGCAAATAAATTTTTGCCATAAAGCCACCATGTCAAAAAAAAAGGGAAAAAAAAAGCCAAAAAAATAAAATTTTGCAAAAATGGTGGTATTGCAAGATTCTTTAGCAATTTTCAACCTGTAAGTTTTTACTATGCACACTCTTTAAAATAACAATTAGCATATACTAACCTGTGGCCCTGTCATATCTCCAGTGCTTTTACCAGGATCCATAGAAACAGAAGGAGCAGCTACAGGCACAGTTTCACTTTTTTGGTATTTTGGCAAATATCTTGTTCTTAAGTTTCCTTTGGCAGATATTCCTGTAGATTGAAGAAGAAAAATTATGAAGTCAAAATAGACCCTTATCTTTCCTCCTGCAATAGGACATCCAAAAATTCATTCTTGCTTGAGCAGCTCTTTTCTAGAAGAATGACAATTTGGTTGAAATTCACCACAGGCTCAGACTCCATATAAAATGTAATTAAGATGAATATATCACCAAAAAGATAAAGAAAAGTGCACAGCATGGGTCTGCACCCACCCACATGACATCAAAGTGAACTCTACAAATRTACTTCTTGTTTTTCATCTGAGGCTTAATGCAAAAACCTGCATTTCTTACAAGTGCAGAAGCATAAGCCAGAGCTTCTGCTTTGACATGCTTAAAGACTAAATAGGAACCAGAAATAATGCTGAGATCAGTGTTACTCATACAATATCTTTTTTTTTCCTTAATATAGCAAACCTACTGATTGCTCACACTAATTTCTTGTTCTTTACAGAACCAGGTATATGAGTAAGTCTCTAAGAGCACACTCCACAGACCTCTGCAAAAAGTTGTCATAACTAGTATTAGCTCAGCTGCACTGACTCATAAGCAGCAACAAGATTTTCATGGTTTTTTCTTTTATAAAATTTCAACACTCACACTGACAAGGCCTTCCAAGGCCAGATTAAAGCCAGAATCTTCCTGATACAGCCTCAAGTAGCAAGTCTTGACTCTTCAGAGCTGCCAAGAGTTTTAAAAAATATATACTGAATTTATACAAGCAAAGAGAATACATTTTATTTGTGTAATGAAGTTTAGAAGTGTGTCAGCAATCAAATGAAAAACTAAGTTATAAGCTTTATGATCTCTACACCGTATGCAAGAAAAAAGCAACATAGTTGAAATTCTCCTCATATATACAGAAATGGAAGAATATTTCCCAAAGTCAATTTACATCATTTAGGACCACTGATTTCTTACCAGAATGCAGAGGCTAATGATCTGACATCAGTTAACTTTAATTAYGATAGCTACAAAACTCTTTGAGACTTTCACAAAGCAATATTGCCAGTGGAACAAGAGTCTGTGAATGTTTTTTTGGAAGGGGGCGTGTTTTGTTCGTTTTGAAGGATAACTATGCTACTCCAAACATAGAGAGCAGCACTTCTCAAAGTTTTAACTGTTGGACATGTGCTGTACATAATATTACTAGAGTTAAATCATGCCCATATGTTTTTGCTGAAGCTGATGTGACTTTAAAAGTTGTCCTCCATGCTTGAAAACAATTTGAAAATTCTGCAGAAGGTTGGCTGAGAACATCAATCTTCTCCCCAGGAATGCACACCAGAATGCATAATTTCAGGTCACAAGAACAACTTCATTTCATTTCATTGAAAAGACATTGCAAAGTTTGGCATGCACAGCAAGCAGCGCTTTCTTCCTAATGTAATGTCATACCTGAAGCACATACCATGGGCTGCTCGTCTTCAGAAACTGCGTGTAACTTTGTTAAAGGAAGTAAAAAAAAAGGTGTAACTTTGCCCCTTTAAATAAAAATACAAAAATAAGCATTTTCACTCATAGTTTTATAAAAGCAGGTGATAGGAATAAAAACTTGCCACACCAGAGAAGCACCAAGACCAAGAAAAACTTGAAATTAAAAAACAAAATAAAATAGTGACAAAGCAAATAGTCTTATCAACTTCTTCATTGTGCATTAAATTCATTCATCCATCTGCAGGTCACCTTCCCAAAAGGTCCCAGGGACCAGCCCGAGGTACAAGTCCAATTATTAAGAAAATRAAGCAATATTTATTTAAATTAGGGCAGGTTATCATTATATAAKGAGTCCCTTGATATGTACGCATGAATCCCCTGACAAACTTCTAGGACAGCCAATATTCATGCTTCTATTAAATCCTACTTTCTGTATAGTATGTTCTGAGAAACATAAATAAGAATAAATGCAAAAGACTTCAAAGGAAGTTGGTCAGTCTCATCTGATCATCACATGATGAGTAACAGCTGAAAGCCTAAGGACTTTTTCCTTTACCAAGAGCAGAATCTGTTCTGAGGCAACTGCAAAGAAAAGCACTTCAAAAAACTTCCAGTAATCTGGAGGTTTAACTATTACTTCACTGCATCAAGCTCTCAAAAAGCACAAAGAACCAGGCAGCACATCAAACTTGCCAGTCTGCCTCCTAAAAGTCTCTCTAAAAATAAGACTCAACACAATTCACACAATTCAAGGAAAGGTGGAGCTTTCATAGTATCTTCCTTAAAGCAGTAGTTTCAGATGGACAAAAGTAAAAATTTCTTATTCCCACACAAGTAACTAACACTCTGCTAAACCATGAAACCAACATAGCACGTTGATTTCACTTCCTCTATATTTTGTTTATAGCTCTATGTTTTGTATATCCTCTGTGTCTTGCYTATATTTTGCTTATTTTTGTTTGGCAGCCTTCTCAGTGTGGTCTACAAGTCAACTGCATAATTTCTGTTCTGTTGACAGTAAATCTATTTAAGACTTTACATAGTTATTTTCATACAAGTAAAGTCTGGTTTTGTAAGCATTTGAGCTGACTTATACCAATCACTTCCCCAGACCCTTATTTTAATTAATACTTTATTTTAACAGCTACACTTTGAAAAAAATCATTTCGTAAGTTACCGCACAAAGGAGAAAATTAGCAACAGTCTAGAAGCTTTCACCTCTTGACAGCAACTTCAAATTCAATCAATACCAGTATCCATCAGAAAACTGCTGCTGGAAAATAAAAGCTTCATCACAGGTTCATGATGGCTCTGCACTGTCACCTCTTAAGAATCATCACTCACTGGTCTTAGTCCACAGTTTGAAAATACCTTAATGTGGGATTTCTGTCAAAGTCATCTCTCCTTCTGTGTACTGTGAAACCACCTCTGATCTCACCTGTAAGCTGCATGCAGTTTCTCCTGACTGGTGACAACACAGTGTTTGTGGAGKCACCCTATGAACCTGATCCTGAAGCTGGAAAAACTGTGAAAGCCAAACACTATACCCCCTAACCCCACAAAAAGCAACAAGATAGAGTGAACCCCCAATTTGGATCATAGCCCAGCCAGCTGTGTCACCACGACTGTGACAGCAACCCACAGGATGCARAGGAGAGTATCTGCAATTGTTACTAGCACCAGAAACAACGAGTTTTAGCACCAGCAATAACTTTCTCAACTAGCATGTGGCTAATTTGWTTTGGAACACATGGCTATAAGAAATAAACCAGATTAGCATAAACAACATTCAGTTTTCAAAGTCTGGCTCCACCATCACTGCTGCTGTGAATAGATACCAGTAGCAGGATTAAAAAAAAAATAGAGAGAGCTGTTGCCACCGCCTCCCCCAGCTACCCGGGTTTCYCTCCCATGAAGTTTTGCAACCTGCTGTATCAGAATAAATAAAGTCAGATCAAYATAGACTTAACCAGCTATGCTGAAAATTGCAGTGTCTCAGGAGCTGATTCATAAATAGGTCGTGAATCCTTGTCCCAACGTGAAAGACGGGGACAGCATCAGCCTCAACCATTTAACACTAATCAACTGCCATATGCCTCAAGTCTSCCAGCAAGATGCCTGCACACATTACATGACTCCTACTAGCAAGGCAACAGCACAGACAGTTATCACAGACATCAGAGAACCTGAATATCTTAGAACCCTGCACTAACTCCATTGCAGCAAAATACAACAGAATRGTGTGAGAGTTTGCATTGCTACTCTGTGCCAAATTCTGCAACTATAGAAGAAATTTCAGTTTTCCAAAACTGCTAATCAGCATTAAAAAAAAGAGTATATCCTATTATATACTTTTGCACCATATATATATCAGGATATATATATCCTGATATATATCAACTTTATATATATCTTTATAACTTTAAACTATAACTTTATATCAACTTTACTAAGATCAGAAGCAACAAAGGTAAAATAGAAATGGATGTCAAGAAGATCCCTATTCCTTGGCATATCTTGTGGCACGAGCSCCCCACCAGGCTCAGAAGAGTACGTTTAGTCATGGGAAACAACCTGCCAGCCCAGTATTTAATTGGTATTAACACAGCTACAGCGTAACTATGCCAATATTTCCACAGCAGGCCAGGACACTGACAGTGCTGCAAGAAATCTGATACGTGCTTACCAACCTTCATCCCATTACCCCACAGAGAAAGGTGGGTGCAATTTTTCAACACAGATGGGCAGTCTTCCAAGATTTGTAATAACGTGTCCCTCAACCACATTCCATTGGGTAGCCGGCCCGTTTCACTCCTGCACTGGTTTGAGGGGGCGTGCGGCCAGGCACACACACATCAGCCCACACAAACATGCCCTTCCACTCAGGCGCTTCTAGCTGATGCTGAACTGCACTCCCAGCGCTGGGCAGTGACACCAAGAGAGCCTTACAGCTACAGCTCAATCTTTGGCTCCTACGTCCCCACCAGGCAGGACTGCCAGGCACTAATGCCTCAAGGAGCCAGCCCCCAGCTCAGCCACACAGGCTGAAGCATCGATGCCGATTCCTTCTGGTTCTCGGAACCTCGTGCACCCATCTCACTGGCCAGGCTTCTACAGCTGAACAACCGCTGCTACTCCAGCTACACATCCAGCCTAGCTTAGGCTCCCTCAATCAGCATTTCCACACCTACTACAGGCCAAGCATTCGACTTTCTCTCTCACGGGCCCCTCAGCCTCCAGGTCCCCTGCAGGCTCATCCCAGGGCTTAAGCCTCAAAGTCGAGCCTGGCCTCCAGCCACAAAAGCCAGGCCCCTTTTGCTTGCTGCCAGCACCTCCAGCCTCAGCTCCCACGCCCCTCTCCGCAGACCCTTGCCCAKGTTTCCACCTGGAAGCTCCCCCACAGACTTACCTGCCCGCAGCCCTCGGGCACGCACAGGCAGGACACCSCCACCTCGGGCCGCGGACCTTGTCCCCGCAGCGACGGCAGCTGAGCCGCCATCGCCGAGACACAGCCCCTCACCCCCCAGAGCGCGGCGCCACCCCCGCTTCTCCCGCCTCCTCCACAGCCGCCGCCGGACTCGGGMCCTGCCTCAGTTTCCCCACGGCGCTGCTCCCCGCAGCCCCAGCCGCCGGCTCCGCAGGCCCCGGCCGGGGACCCTGCTCTGGCCGCGGCCCCGGGAGCCCTCCCCGCCATGGAAGGATACGGTCCCCGCTCCAGTAAACGCCACCGCCCGGCCCGGCGGCCACCTCCGCCATCTTGAAACAACCGCCACTCCCAGCGTGCCCCCCGCCGCCCCCCCAGCGCTCGCAGCCCATTGGCTGCCCGCGCCCAGCCTCGCCCTGCCGGTGCCGGGGGGCCGCCGAGACGCGGGCGGCGCGCGGAGGAGAGGGGCATTCTGGGAGGCGTAGTCCTGTGGGCGGCACCCAGTGGCGGGCCGCGAGCGCCGGGAACTACCAATCCCATGAGGCCTTCCTGCCGCGCCACTCCGTCCATAGGCTGAGCGGCGCGGGGGGACRGGAGAACTACACCTCCCAGCGCTCCTGGCGGCGCAGCCCCGGCTACGGGGTGGGAGGAGGGACAAAAGGGTCCTTTTCTCCTTTCCACACACACCCACCCACCCGTGCCCGGCGCCGGGAATTGATGGTGAGCGGGGCYGGGGGCTGCCCACGATGGAGGAGAGGCCCTCGGGCGGCATCAAGCCCCACCTGGACAAGCTGACGCTGGGCATTACGCGCATCTTGGGTGAGTGGCGGCCCGCGCGGGAGCGGCCGGGCTAGGCCGCGGCGTGTGGTCTTTGATCCTCGGTGTTCCCTCCTTGAAACCCATCGGAGGGGCAAGGAATTCATCGTCGACGTCAGAGAACAGGGCGCCTCGGACACGGCTGGAATCACAAGAAGCGGTGGAAATACTGGCCTGTGTAAAGGAGTTTGTGGTTAGAGCTTTCGCCTTTCCGCAGCTTAGGGCACAGACTGGCCTAGAGCGGCAGAGCCATCCCAAGCCGTGTCTGTGCAGTATTGCCGATCTTACCTCACAAAATCGTGTATTTATGTGAATTTAAAGAGAAAAATGATYGCCATGGTTATCTCACCCTGTGGTTTGTATCTCAAATCGCACAAGTTGCTGCTAGCTGCCACAGCCAGATGAGGTTAAATGACCATGGACCTCAATGAGGACAGGACTTCTCCCAAGCTCAGAACTCGCTCTCAAACGAATTTGGCTTCTTGGGGTTTTCTTGTTTGTCTGTTTTTCAGCTGTGAGGTCCGGATTGGCTCCCACTCGTCCCCATGCCAGCATTTAGAGAGCGAAACTGCTGCTGATCAGATAGGGAGGCAGCGCTTCTTCAAAGCAGTTCTTTCCAAAACACAACCAGCCCTGCCCCTCATGTTGAGGTCTGTTAACAGGGTCCAAAAGTAATGTTACCATAAAAATACTACCATAAAAAAAAAAAACCCATGATGTGTAGGCATGGTGCTTTACAGCCAGCAAGACCCGGCGGTGGGGGTTTGGCTCCCACAGCCGTGTGGTACCCTGTGTTTGCACAGGGTTGTGTTTGCTGGTTGCTTCTCTCTGCCGTTCTTCTGCGGTCTGTTGTGTTGTGCAACACAGCGGTGCACCATGTTTTAGTCGGAATATTTTCTGTCTCACCAGTCCTTCTGTGAATTTCTTGTTTTTCTGCCCCGCAAAGTAGTCCAGAGCATGTTGATTGCAGCACCGTGTTAATTGGGACTGCAGAACTAAAAGTTTTGGAAAACATGAGCACATTGCTATATCTGCATGCTGGTTGTTTCTTTCACAAAACAAAGGATATTTGAGTCAGAAAGTCTCCTTTTTTGGTAGTGTGCGCTACTAGAAGTATCTTGTTATTTTAACTCTTTTTCTGGGAAGCCTCATCAAGTCCATGGATACTTCTCTGCCTACCTTAGCATCAAAGCAGTGATACATTTATAACTCTGTACAGAGTTCATGGGTCACCTCTACAGGACATGGGAATGATGATATGGTAAAACACAACATGCTTCTTTTAAGCAAGAAAATATAACACATGCAGTATGTGGGATCTGGAGACCCAGTTTTCCAATACTTTTGAGTAAATATTCATGGGACCATTCCAAAAAATCCTAATCTTAACAGATTTTGTGTATGAGATTTTCTCTTCAGCCTCCAATCTCTGTGGAAGTCAGTACAAGGTGGGAGATTTCTCACGAGGGTTATGAAGGTTATAATTTGAGGAAAAAGAGAGAGGGCTCTCTTTTCTATTCCCGGTGTAATTCAGCTTGCTGAAGGTCCATGACTAACAGTAACATTCCAGAAAGTTTGATCACCCAGAACTAAATTCGAGGGGCAGGTGTTAGCTGGTGTTGACCAGAACAGGACTGTACCTCACTATTTAGAGTCTTTATTGGTTACGAATTTTAGAAAGGTTTACAGAGATGCTGAGAGGGTATCCAACCAAGAGGCAGTATTAGCAGTTGAGCAATAACGGTTTGTGCTGTGMTTTGCTGCTTTGTGCCCAAACCATTCGATCAAGTCATTCCAATTAATACTACAAAGCATTTTTGGAAGCTTCTGGGTGACATGTGCTAAAAATAGGACCCGATTTACTGTGAYCTTGATGCAGAATAGTTCGCTGGGAGGCTCCTCCTGAACTGGTTAAGCTTTATCCCGTATCTCCTGTCCAGCCGGGTTGGCCTCTGATTTCTTCCGTCTGAACTCTTAAAGCCACCACGCCGTGCAGGCCACGGCATCGGTCCTGCTTTTCCTTCTTCRTATTTCATGGAGCTCCCATCCGTACTTGCACACATCTATTAAGCATGGTCTTTAGTTTCCCCACAGGATGTTTTTAATATAACATTCAGGGCTTTAAGATGAATTTTCCCTTTCTTTTGCTCTTGGATTTGGTTCAGACCTCTCTAGAAGATGCTGTTTCATCATCCCAGCTGAGCCTTTGTGCATGCTGAATTAAACAACCCTGCTGTCTCTTTGATCAAAGAAATAACAATTAAAATCACTCTGTTATTATAATCTCTTAACATGTTATAAGACTTGCATAGCTCAGGTGGAAAAGACCAGTTAGATCTTTGATTCCATCACTCCCTTAAAAGCAGAATACAGTCTCCATATGGAAGATGTGCATTGGAGCAAGAGACACATTGCCCTGCCTTGCACCCAGCTATTTGAATTGAAGCTTGGCAAAACAGCAGAAAGTCTTTTAGGGGTTGGAGACCTGTACTAGTCAGAAAGATTACCTTGGTGACCTACTATGATGTATTTTTTTTTTCATTCTGTATCATTGAGTTTTGTTTTCTGGTGATGCAGTTTGTCTTTTAAATTATCTGGCAATGTAACAATCAATACTTCCAATTAAAGCCAAGCTCAGACCTCCTTCTGCTGGCTGCTGCTTTTCCACCAACAGAACAGACAAGGGCAGCTCTGTTCCTAGAATTAGAGCCTAGAGCTGGGGATAAAAGCAGAGCCAAAGCTCCCTGGTGCCTGCCTTTCCTGTCTAGTGCACTGGGTCTGTTTTATCAGAAAGCAATTAGAATATGTGTGACTGCTTTGGGAGCCCATACTTTCACAGCAGAGCTGCTCTTGAAAGCCCTACATAGCGATCGTTTCTGCTGCACAGGCTTGTGTGCTGGGCTTGCAATTCCCCTAACAAGTACGTAGTCCTTCTGGACCAGATCCAAAGTGAATGAAGTCAGTGGGAACCATTTCATTGGCTGTAGACGAAGTAAAACATTATAAAATAATAAGTGTGAGGGAGGCCGCTCTGCCATCGCACACCCGCAAGGATAGCACTATGTAGATCTTGCATTTATATTCTTGCATTTATATTATATTCCATTCTTTCCCCTAAAATATTCAGAGCACTTTTATAAATGATGAGCTCAGTGCTCTTAGCAGCTTCTTGTGCCCAGCTGGGATTCCAGGGAGCTGATGTTTGTTCATGCTGGTCCGTTCTGTGGGATCAGACCCTAAATCTGCTGAGACTTCAGCCCTGAGATGCGCCCATCTTTGTGGAATATGAGGTTTGTGTTTCACAGCAGCACTGCACAGCATTTGTGTCAAGCTGGAAATATCCTGCCCAACTGAAGCCACTGAGCATGTTTACAAAGAAAGATTCACTTCATTTTAGAGCTTGTTCAGGAACTCAGGRCTGTTTTTTTGTTCCATGAAGCCTTTGCAAAAGATTAAAGCTCAAATTCAAAATCTATGTATAGTGTGTGTGTCTATAAATGTATATAGAAATGATCAGAGGATGCCAACTTCTGGAGCACTAAACATCCTCATACCAAGACCTGCTGAGTACAACTGCAGACCAGAGCAAGTCCCTGCCCAGTCACCAGTGTAGTTCTTGCAGCCACAAATGCCTTTTCCCCGGTTGTCAGTCAGGTTTAACTTGCCAAGTTGTCTGGCTCACGGGGTTGGTCGGCTGTGCCAGCTGCAGACACRCTCTTCTTTTCCTTTTAGAGACTTCTCCAGGAGTTGCTGAGGTGACGATTGTGGAAAAGGAGCCGGCTGAACGCCACAGTATCATCTCATGGGAGCAAGTGAGTGTTTTCTTGATAGTTCTGCACTGGGGTTGGTCTGACTCTACTGAAGCCTATGGAGGATGTTAAATGACACATTCACCTCTTGTTTGCTTTTAAGAGAGAGCCTATAAGCAGATGCACACTGAGCACTGAACTTGAACAGCCTTTGCTTTACAGATGTTACTCTGGTTTCTGAATATCACATGCACTTAGAGAAGCTCTTAGAGAAGTTTCATCAGTGAGGGTAAATTTGAGAACTATAAGAAGGAAACACATTGGAATTATAGACAGCAACAGTGGAGGCTCAGGGGAACAGACATGTTCCTCACTCAACTATGAAACCACATTTTCCATCTCCCTGTAAAACTCCCTGCGGCTGTGGGGGACAGAGTGGCAGTTTTGGTCATCTCTCTGAACATACACGGATTTATCCATCCCATACACACATCCTGCAACTGGATGTGCATGCAGGATGGAGAATGAGGGCTTCCTAGGCACTGTGTGTGTAGGGAAGGGGCAGTAGTACCCGCAAGTTATTCCTAAAGAAGTGTAGAAAACTCCAGCACCAGGAGTGCTGCATATTCTTCAGTCTGAACATATTCTTGTTCTCTGTTTCAGATACTGCTTATTCTCCTAATTAAAGCCACTTTGTTTCAAAACTGAGCTATTGTCTTTAGAACCAAAATTTGAAATGCTTTAATCAAAGCACTTTGCTCAAAAGAAAACATCTTCCCTCATCCAGTGAATGAACTGTGTCAGTTAATGACAGAGTGAAAATTAAGTAGATGCAGTTGGTCTGGAGCTAATGATGTAGGACCTCACTGTCTACTTCTTTACCTTTGTTTCCAATTGCAATGACAAAACCAGAAATCGCCTTTACTAAAGGGGATTACTAAGCTAACTCTTTTTCTTTTACATGGAAAGAAGAATAAATAGCAAAGATAAGTAGAGGGTAGGGGATGAAATCTAATATCTAGCACAGTGGTTAGTCCATGCAGTCGTAGTACATAGTGCAATGAAGATTAGGTGTGAAGCACCTAGCACCTCACAGGGCCCTTCAGGAGGAATTTGTACCTCTCCTTTCCCCAGGCTCACCCCACTTAGATCCGCATGCAAACGTATCCATGCCCAGTGTTCACTTCTGTCCCTTCTTTTCCATAGCCACTAGGTGGCAAGACTAATGCATGTAATCGTATTTTTTTCCATAGCTGAGATTTTAACAAAGTCCCATCACAGTCTATATTTTCATCTCCCACTATATCTTTGGCTAGCCAAGTATTTGCAGGACTTTTTTTTTCTTTTTTTTTTTTCTTCAATGCAATGAAGGGAAAATTAGTCAAACTCCTTGCATTTTTTTTCCAAAGCCTCACGGTTTTTACTAAGACTTACTAAGACCTCTGTAGAGGCAGATAGGCAGAAAATCAATCCTAAATATTAGAGATTAGCATGCTCACAAAAAATATTTAAGGGAAATGATTATCAGGTATTTATGTAGTAAAGCATAGAAGTAAAAAGATACATTTTTTTTTCTGTTTTCCTGATGTGTCTGCAGTGAGACAGTCAATAGAAGTGGGAGGAGAGCCAGAGTCAGCCTGTAGCTGGGACACCTGTGGCACTCACCATATATCCTGCTATGAACAGGATCTGCTGCTGAAATAAAGTTGGCATCTGCCCTGCTCCCCTCCACATGCAGTTTGTAAAAAGAGACATAATACTAGAATCTTGCTAGGAGATACTCTAATATCTGCAATAACAGTGCTTAATTGGGGAGTTATTTTTCATTCAGAAGCTTTCCTGCTGTAATATTCTTTACTTTCAATGGACTGCACTTTCTTGGGAGGCTATTTGGAGATGTTACAGACATGAAACAAAAGACATAGCCCTCACACATCATACTGTGCACTTGGGATGTTGTGTTTTATGAGCTGATGAATTTGAACAGATGACTAGGGTTGCCAGGGTTAAGCCACTAGGCATGTTACTGTATTTTATAGGCTGAGAACCATAACCCTGGAAGCAACCAGATGAGCAGGGGCAGTACAGCTGCTCGAAGTGAAGCTGTTTTCTCTACAAATTTTGTTTTGAAGTCCTAAGGTACCGTGGCTGAGCGTAATGCAACAGGCCTGTCAGTCCTTTCTGTGGGCATTAGTAAAGCCTTCTAGGWTTTTGAATAAGCCCCAGGTCTGCCCTGATCAGCATTTTCCATCCTTGTATTCTGCCCCATGTTTAGGAGGGTCCTAAAATAAGGGTAATGTGGCAAACGCAGCTGTTTGGAGAAAAGGGCACGTGTTGAACATTCCCTCCCAAAGGGGAGAATTCAGCACAAGAAGCTTGTCCACACCTGTCTCTGCAGGGTCCAGCCATCCCAGGGCATCTGGATACCCTAACGGGAGGAAGCCCACTGAAGTCAACAGAGCTATTCCCCTACGTATTTGTGTTGCTGGGGTAGCTTAGCTACAACTGGTAGGTTTGCAAATGAACCAGAAATGCTGTGCAAACATCTGTATTCTTGTACATTTTGGCAGCAGGTCTGTCGTACTCCTTTGCTTCATTTCTTTTTTCTAAACCTGGTCACCACGCTCACAACAACAGTGTAAAAGTAGAAGTGGTGAAAGTCCAGAATTAAACTATTTAGCAYCGAGAGGAGCCTACAGGATAAGGTGTGTTTGTTAAAGGCATTTGAAGAACTTCAGAAATGTCCACGTGGTCCAGTAATCTTTTGAAACTTGCCACCAGAGCTTGGCCATCAGCATGACAATAAATTCTTCTCAAAACAAAGCTTCTCCGGTATCAGATTCTCTGCTTTAGTACCTGCTGCCTCTGGAGATTTTCGCAAGAAGGGTTAGACAAACACTCTGCTGGTGACTGCTGACGTGGCAAGTGAAGTGAACTGCCCTCTGGCAAGCAGCAGTGCCCTTAAAATGTGGAACTCTTCGGTAGCAATCCACACACAAGAGGGGTTATGCTTCGGAAGTGAATTGCTAACCACGTGGGAGTGAAGGCTGTGGGTGGGTTAGAGACTCTGTCRTTCTGTGTATGCTGCAGTTTAGGAGACCAGTTGTCTTAATAAATATGAACGTAAAGAGCGTTTTAATAGGCAGAATGACATGTGGATCCTTGGGAGGAGGAAGCCGTGACCCTTGTTTTCTCCTACCAGACGTGGATGACCACAGTTCAGCAGTGCAGCTGGATGTGGGACTCGGAGGTGACTCCTGGTGGACAGACATGTAGAGAGACAGGGTGAGGGCAGGTCACAGGATATGTGTAAGTGGCAGACATGGGGAAGACTCTGGTCAGCATYTCTTAGATTCTGTAAATTTGTGGCCCAGGTTAAGTAGAGCTACATGAACTGCGTGTGTCTGAAGGTTGTTTCACTGCCTTAGATGCTAATTACCACATTCTCCTTTTATTTTATATGGCTTTGTGTGTTAAATGCTTTAGCAGCTGCGGGGAAGTACCCCCAGCTGATGGGCAGCATCAGAAAGCTGTTAGCATCTGGCACCTCTGTTTGCTCCAAAATGATTCAGAAACTGCTCCAAAATTCACCTAGACCTTTGAGACTGGGTAACTAMATACCCACCTGAGCAGCATTAGGCAGCATTAGGCAGCATTGATTAGGGGTGGGATAAGCCCTGCACAGGGACATCACTGCTGACCCTTGAATGCTCATRAAGATTGTTATTCTGAGTTTCCTTGCTTGAGGCGTCAAACTTACTGTGCAGAGAGCAAGTCATTTCCTGCAGGATTTCTTCTAAACTAGCCAAATGAAAGAAAMATAACTTTCTGGAGGAAGTTGAAAATGCTGCCACAAAATACTTGAACCATCAGGTATGTTGTGTTGCATATCCCATTACCTGTTTATTTTCCTTGTACAAGCCGAGCTCCCAGAGTCCTTTGACTATGGACAAATCTGTGTTTTAAAGACATTGTCTAGCCTCATAGCTTGTCAACAAAGCTTGATCCCCAAAGAGCCTGCTTCTTTCATTGATGAGAAGAATTAAAAGCGCATGAGATTGAATAGGRAACACAGTGACAAGTTGCAATTTGAGAGGTTCAGGCTGTAATCAGGAAACATTTTCACAGGAAAAGTGGCACAGCCCTGGGAGAGGTCGGCACAGAGGCTGGGAAACGTGTATTGCTGGAAACTTTGAAGATTCAGCTAGACAAAAGCCACAGCCAACCTGATCTGCATTGGCAGTAGTCCTGCTTCTAGCAGGAGGTTGGACTGGAAGTTTCCAGAAGTCTTTTCTAACTAGTATGCCCATGCTCATCTGTTAAAGCCTCTTAATCATTAAACTGTCTTCACTTTTGGAGTCCAATCCATGCTTTCAGAGCCTTGAAGTTACCAGTGCTTTAAATGTAAACTCACTTCAGTGTTTTTCAGGTTCTTGTTTTCACTAAAACGACTGCAAACAAAATGACAGATAACTTGTGCCATGTGCTGCTTGTCTGAACACTTGACATGTTTCCGTACTGTTTCATTTAGTGTTCTTGGAGCGTCAACAGGAGCGGGGTYATTAGTCAGGGCCTAGACCAGTCAACAGGAACAGTGTCTGCAACTGCATATAACTCTATGGGCTTCTCATAATGCTGAGAACTAAGCCTGTGCTCTTTCCTTGTGATGTTATTGCTTAGATAGGCATGTTAGCTTAGGAAAAGCACCTTTCACAACCAAGATCTGTGTAGAGAAGGATCATGGTTCTTAGAAGCTCCCACCAGCTCGCTGGAATTGCCTCTTTCACTTTTGGCTCAGGAATAAGCAGGATTTAGGAGCCACAGCCAAGTGCCAAGGTTTGATGGGATGAAGGCAGAGCAACAGGTTTGTGAGACTGTGCGTGTTTGTGGACATGCAGAATGTCAAACTTGCTTGAGTATGTGCAACTGTTGAGTCTGTGGAGCTYTTACCTACTTGGAATTGAACATCTAATGTTCCTAATATCTGCAGTCTGGGAGTGGGTTTTCACAGCATCATATGTTGTCTTAGTTGGGGAGTAATTCTGTAATAGCCTTGTGATGGGTGACTGCTCGTTGTGAAATTTTCCCAAGTCATCTTTGTTAATACAGTAGCACAGAYCAAGAAATGCGCTTTTTCTCTCAAAGTTTTAAACTGAGATGTTTGATTGATTTGAGTTGTCTAGGAGTTGAGCAAGATGTTTGGTGGCAAATGCTTTTGTCCCTGTGTTCAGTTGCTCAGAGGATTTGAGGCATGTTCTGCGTTTCTTCATAACACTTTGGCCCTCTTGTGATTTGCAGAAAAACTCCTGCATATTGCCAGAAGATTTAAAGAACTTCTATCTGATGACTGACGGATTCCAGATGACCTGGAGTGTAAAGACTGATGGTGAGTCTATGTGATCCTYTCCACTGATAACCTCATTTCTGTGCACCCAGTCTTTTCTTGCAGGATCTCTTCAGTTTTAGTCTTTCTTTCTGCCCAATCAGCACCCACCTCTCAGCATCCTGCATAAGTCTAGGCAAAAGCACACACAGTAAGTCATTTTGAGTGAAAAATTAACACCATGCCTTAGCTGGAAAAAAAAAAAAAAAAAGTCATCTCTTTCTGCTGGACAGCTTGATCAGTGACTATAGAACACTGACCCCTGAATTAATAAGTGAGTGCAGTTCTGCATTGGATCTTGGACCATTTAAGAGGTATTCTGRTGAGGAAAAAAAAAGATGAGTGCACATCAGAAGTGTCTTCTTAATGCAACAGGACAAAACCTATTACTTGTTTGTGCTGGACTCCCACCRAAGAGACTTGTACACTGAACCAAACAAGGCTTCATGACATAAACCGTTCACTAGCACATGGATTTTTCTGTWGACATCCAGGTTTAGGTTTATAGTTTAATTCTAGAAATTAGGCTCCCTCTACAGYTTATGTAGAGAGAGGCAGCTTTAGAGAAGACACTATCCCATCACACACCAGTAGGAGGAATCACTCTCCAAAAATGCCTCTTTCTCTTTAAAGGATATAGCATATATGTATGCTGTATCCAAAGAAACTTGAGCTGTGCATTGATTTTTAAAATGACAAATTGTATGAAAGGCCAGAATGTTGACTTTGTACTAACAACATGATCCCTGCCTTTTTCCACATCTGTGATATAAGGAGAAGACTTCCCTTTGCTATCACATTGGTATGTGGGTTACCTGCTGAGAGCCATGATGAGTGCAGCATATCAATTAATACCTTCATGGTATATGGTGTATGGTAAATACAGTACTTTCCACTGCAAGTGATAGCTTTAATCTGGGGAAAAATGAATCTGCTGGGGCTATCTGRTTTCTGACATCTCCAAGCCGGAGAGAGACAGGGAAGATCATGACAGTGTTAAGGTCCAGTCTGTCTTCTTAGCTGATACATTCTTACCATATTCAGCTGAGATGAAATGTCTGTTATTTTTTTTTTTCTCTCTTTTTTTCTTTTTTTTTCAGTTGATTTCCTGCTTTTCACACAGGTCTCACAACTGGGTTGAAGCYAAAGTCCATCAAGTATCTGGGCAAAGGCCACACAGGTTGTGTTAATCAGCCATGAGGACAAGACCTTGCTCAGTAACGTGAAACAACGTACAGGAGAAGTGCCTGATATCACGTTTACTGTCAAAGTTTAACCACCAACAACCAGAATTTCTAGCCTTGAGCTTAATTCTGCTCTCCCGACAGCTTAAGTCCATTCACTGGAATTATTTCTGGAGATATTGGTGAAAATGAGAGTAGGATTAAGCTTGATTGTTCATTGCTTTGTGGCAAAAATCAGGCAGTTCTTTCACTCTGCCCTCGTGTCCTGCCACATGCTTGTGGACTTACGATTAGGTTGTTACATGAGGCTATAGGTACTGTTCGTTTCAGGCATCAAATACATGGTTCTCCTCAGAAAGCAGAGTTTCTTTCCAGAGGCACTGGACACCTAATCTAATACATGTATTGACACCCTTGGTGTTTCAGGTGAGATGTAGTGTTGTGATGTCTCTGATAGGTCTTGTTTTCAGGGCGCACAAGTGCACAGAGCCTGAGGCAAGTCATGTAACTGTCTTGTCTGAGCAAACATCCAGCTGTGCCTTCTGAGGCCCTTCACGCTGACCTGCAACTTAACTGGGTGTTTGTGACTTGGTGACTAATGTAAGCACAGAAACAAGGACAGGTGACAAGTTGCAGCATTCATTCAGGGGCAACCACATGCTGCCGTTCTGATGGTAACCCATGTTGGAGAAGGACCAAGAGCATTCACCCTGAGCGAGTGTGTGGTGTGGAAGAGGATAAGCTGCCCATTAAGTTGCAGATGGGAGACATGATTCTTGGCATAAAGGACAGAAACATGGAAGAGCTTTTTCTGAGGGTGGYTGYAGCTAGCTGAGAGGTAGTGTTGTGWGKGGAAGAGAAAKACTGATTTTGYTCCTGTGAAGACTGGCTTGGTTAAGTATCCTTGATGGACCTACCCATCTCTTCTGCATCTCTCTGTTTTGGAAAGATTGCACTGATGTTTTGTGAAACAAAAATACCTCTTYTGCTTTCCCGTTGCTAGAATATAATTAATGGTCAGTCTTATTGCAGATGCCCCAATGCCCCTGGGTTCCATGGTGATCAATAGTATCTCGAAGCTCTGCCGACTTGGGGGTTCCTCAATGTACACTCTGCCTAATGCTCCAAGTCTGGCTGATCTGGAAGATGACACAGACGAGGAAGGTAATGTTCTATCAGCAGGCTAGAGCACATGCCTGGCCTCATCCCCTTTGCTTTGTTAAGATGAGGGTATAGTACATGGATATAACAAGAGAAATAGTCATTCCAAGTAGAGATGATTCTTTTTGTCTCCTAGGCCGTATGTACCATACGTCCCATTGGTGCTCTATAGCCCTGAGATATGTGTACTGTGAATTTCATGGTGATTGTTAACTCTGCCAGTCACTATCATTATATCTATACTCTTTGAAAGCCAGTTTGCCCTCCTGTTCTGTCTTTTGCTTTTTTAAATATTTAACTAAGGTTTCCTTGAGTAACTCAATTTATAAACTGCTTTTGTGCTTCTGGTGTTATATAAACAGAAGGTAACAATCTTTGTCTTGGTAGTAAAAAGGCAGCTATATTGCTGGATGCTTTTCAGAAGTGGAAAAAAACAGCTCTGGTATATGCATTTAAATGTGAGCTAACATTGGAAAATGTTGTATATTTCCAGACTGCCTAGAAATGTAAGGCATGCTGCAGATTAAAAAGCAAAAACAATAATCAAAATGCTTCTCCCCTCAGTGCTGTTCTATCGTAACAGTTGATTTATTAATATGTACCAAATAGATGGACTCTTTGCAGCACTGTCAGCTTTCCAAACATATTTCTTGAAGGTCTTTTTTTTCTGTTTTTTAAGGTAATGAAGACAAACCAGAGAAGCCACACTTTGATTCTCGCAGCCTTATCTTTGAATTAGACCCATGCAATGGGAATGGGAAAGTTTGTCTCGTTTATAAGCACACTAAACCAGGTGAGACTGAAGAGAGTGAAGTTAGTCATCTGCTGCTGCAGGTATATCTGAGGGACAGATACTTAGTATCATCTTACACTTTTGATCCGTACATTTGTATATGTGCATGGCTGCATGAAACTCAGCAGCCAGACTTTACAGTGGAGGTCTACATTTATCCCTTACAATTTAGCTGGAGCTAACATTTTGTTCCCTTTGATTTCTGCATGCATAGCATATTTACACATCAAGACAAGAAAACACTCACATATGACCTACAGTCACATTGAAATAATGCRGAGCACAGCCACTCGTCTGTCTCCAGTTACTTGCATTTCTCAGAATGCTAACCTCATGTTTTGATAAGGAAGGGTGTATTTTGCATTGAAACAAAGGGTGCATGGCAGAAAAAGCCACATAGTCCACCGAAACAGTCTTAGACTGGTTCTGCCACCTTGCAAATAATGCCATACCTCTGGTGCCAAACAGGTCAGAATTTGGCAGGGAGGGTCAAGTGGGAGGCGAGCCAAACTTTCTTCTGATAGCTACACAGAAAGTTGTTTTCAATCAAGGCCTAGTGAAACACCCCAATTACTGGTGAAGTAGCAGCCAGCTGGCATTCRGAGTGCCCAGGTCACTCAGTACGTGTGTGTACACTTACATGCCCTGTGTGCCACATGCGGCCAGCACTTAGTAAAACCCTTCTGTTGTTATCTTGTGCCGTGATTGGGTGTGTCTGGAATTCCCAGGTCAGAAACTTCTGACCTCGTCTGCCCATTCAGTGTTAGCATAGGACGCATAGGGCTTAACTGGCAATGTGCAGAGTCCAAGTTTATCAGGTAAAGTCACTTATTTTTATCCCTGCTATCAGGTAAAGTCACGTATTTTGATCCCTGCTAATCTGGCTGTGATTTCTTTTAAGGAAGTTGCCCCCCTAGAGAAATATTTAATCACTGTGGAAAGTCTCTCCAAAGGTGGGCTTTTTTTGGCAGGATGCACTCCCATGGCTTCCAGACTCTGGACTCTACTCAGTAATCCAGATGACTGACTGCTGAGTTAGTTACTGGTTTTAGTTTGTGATTTAACGTTTTAGATAAACGTTTGCAATAATAGTACTTAGAATTCAAGTTACAAAATTACTGCTGTCCGAAGATGCTCCACCTGGAGCAGGTTGGGAAGGAATTATCCATTTTACAGTGGGGGAACTGAATATAATGGCTGCTACGTGAGAGATTAGTAAGGCTGAGAGCAGAACCAAGACCTCTTCAGCCCACATGCTCCATGTTTCCTCTGGATAATTGTATTTGTTAATAAGAAATGCTGTCTTTTGTAAGGTCCAGCATTTCAGGTAAGAATGTTGCATCTCCCAGCTGACACTGCGCCACAGGCAAGGGAGAGAGCTTTTAGGTATTATTAACTCATGGCTTATTGCAAACATATTTATTGAGAATGGCTATACAGTGAAGTCCTTGTGAGTGAATCTTACATCTTGTTGCCCAAGTCTCATTTCCCTACTGCTTCAGTGGTTTCTTGTCAGAGCTTCTCTTAAACTCCCAGAGAATGGCCCTGAGAAGTGTCCTGATGACATTCACCACCGTGCAGAAGAGCTCTGGGCTCTAGCGCTGTTTATGAGCACAGAATTTGACCAATGGTCATACAATACACGGAATGGAAATGTACTTTTTTTTGCTGATCTCATGCCGTGTTGGGGAAAAGAGACCCCCTTTTTGCTGATCTCATGACCATTTCTTGCCTCACCAGTTGCAACCAGTATCGCCTAGTTCCTCATGGTCAGCATTGGGCACTGGCAGTTACGTGTGATCAGCTGGGGCCTGTGATATGTGTGGGGGGTATTTGTACTCCACCACACACTGCCCAGGAGTTGATGTCTATCACTGCAAAGCAGCAACATAATTTTTGTTTCCTTTTTGTAGTTGTCTCCCCAGACACAGAAATATGGTTTTTGGACAGAGCTCTGTATTGGCATTTCCTCACCAAAACCTTCACAGCCTACTACCGCCTGCTCATCACCCACCTGGGTCTTCCACAGTGGCAATATGCCTTCACCAGCTATGGGGTCAGCCCCCAGGCCAAGGTAAGACAGCAGGATCCAGCTTGTCAGTATTTCAAGTAAATCTGGACCAGAAAACACCTTTCTACCTTTTGACAAGCAATCTGCAGGGCTCAGGCAGGACTTTCTAGTGAGCCCATGAGCCTTTCTGCTCTAGCATGTAGCAGTCATTTATTTACTGCATTTATTGTTAGCTCTGCTTTTTTCATTTGAGTTGGGCTCTGCCTTTGGCCTCTGATAGCAAATGGTAGATTCTCAACTATCTCTGTTCTTTCTCGGCTCTGAAGCCAACTTCTGCTTCCATAACTGCCATCAAGTGAATACATATAAGGCCATTCATTCCCACTGCTATGTAAGATTAGTCTAGGTCAGCTCTCTGGGCGTTGCACAGAACAAGAGCTGGCTAGATGGAAAGGGAGGTCCTAGTTCATACAGGACAGAAGTCCAGAGGAGGACTGAGCTTCAGCCTTATRAGGGGGATTAGTCCCTTTCTGTCTGTCTCGGACACAACAAGGTGCTCTGAGAATATAGTGCCCAAAAGAGCAGTTCAAATCCCAGCAGTTCCCGAAGCGTTTTTGGGAGACCACAACTTTCACACTGTTCCCTGCTCCAGGTACAGCCTGCAGACCAGTCCAGCACCTTATTATTATTAAAATTGCTATTTATTCTACTCTGTCTGAACCCTGCTATTAGAGACTCCTGCCATTCCTCTGTGCTTGCCTGGGCTTTCAGCTCCAACCCAGCTTCCAGCTTGTGGAGTGGCAGAGTATGGGCTGTTAATACAGCTCACCACAGCACACAAGCCTGTGCAATGTCTGCGCATGCTGGTGGGTCTTGATCAGTGCCCTGCCCTTGCCTCAGGTAGGACAGCTGTGTTGTCAGCATGATGCTCCTTGGTCCCTGCCTCAACCCTGTGCATGCATCAAAATTACTCACTGAAATCACCGCCTGCTTCCCAGCTATCTGTGTCTGCAGAATTTGGCTCTCTGTATTTCTGGGTTCTTCCCTGATGTGCTGTGGTCTACCATTTCAGTCAAGGCTGTGTGCATGGTACTCGAGCTTATCCCTGTGCTCTGCCTTTCTATAGCTTTTCTGTGTTCAATATATTCACAAACCTTAGTGAAATCACTCGTATATTTCCAGTCATTTCACAGCCTCTGTTAAAATATATCCTCCTACTATGTTAACCATTATCATTTCTAAAGGTCTTTAAGGATGATATATTAAAGCCCTTTTCCATTATGTAGCGCATTAACTGATTGCTCTGTACAATTTTTGTATTGATTTTCCATTTATCTTGTTCAGCATTTAGCTGATGGTGAATTTCGGCGAGGTTTGTAATATCTTATCTCCTACAGTTTTATTTCCTGGCTTCATGTGATGGGCAACTGATAGGAAGAGTACTAAGAGATGGAAAATTCAGGGCATAACATTATGGGAACATCTGTGAAACAACAAAAAAGTGTATCGTGATCACTTCTAGACATAAAAAAAGGCAGAAGTGAAACAAAATATATCCTTTTTGTAAAGAGTTAATAAAATCTGTATGATATATATGAAAAGAGGGAGACTGTATTTTAAATAGTACAACTAGTTTGCTTCTGTTTCATAAGCACTCTTAAATCCCAGATTTTTTAATCCTTTCTGCTTCACTGAATCTAAATAAATGTGATTGAGTTTCATTCCCTCCCCTTGCTTTTTCTCCTGTTGGTTCAAGTCAGAAGCTTCTCTTGATACGAATTACATTGTGAGAAAGGTAGTTTTAGGTTTGTATCTGGGTCTCCACTTCCATCTCTGGAATGTGGGGCTCTAGCTACAGCTGGGACCATCCTTATCAGGGGATACTTCTCAGTAGTTGACTGGATTGTGCAAACTGAAATGTGTTCCTGCTTGTATATGATTAAAACCATGGGGATGAGGGAGAGCAGGGGGGAATGTCTAATGACAGTTTCATTTTTAACATCTTCCCCAATATTCCTGCTTTTCAGCAATGGTTTAACATGTATAAACCCATCACCATCAACACAGCTCTCCTTTCTGAAGAAGCTGACTCCTTTGTGAACAAGCTGGACCCCAACAAAGTGTTTAAAAGCAAGAACAAAACTCCAGTGATGAAAAAGAAAGCAGCCTCCCAGCCGACAGGCTCCCAAAAGAGCCAACCTGGCATGACATCCTCCAAGACTTCCACACTACCTGGGAATCCTTCAAAGAAGCGAGACCCCCAGGTCTGACCCTGGATTGCATTTGCTTTGATGTTCTGTGGTGCAGAGTCTGAGAATTTCAGATCAAGCTCCTTTTTGTGCATGAATAGATCTTCCCATGGAAACTACACTGCAGCATTTGCATGAAATATAACCACAATGTACTTTGACATGGGAGGTAGATCCTGGTGGCTTTGAGATGGTGATGTAATTCACTTCTGCTACTTGCAGAAAGTCCTTTTCAGAAGGCTTGAAGAAGTCCTTAGTGTCACTGCTCTGTAGACAAGCTGTTAGTACTGTGCAACTAGAGCAGTGAAATGAAAGTAAATGTAAGTCATTATTATTTTAATAGACCCTTGCTGAAATACAGAACATGAGGATATTTCTGCTGTCCTCTTTGAAAGAAACCTGCCCTGACCCTGCACGTTATGGGGCAGGCTGGAACCAACAACACAAATATCTTCCACTTACAGACAGAATCAAACYCTGCATTCCCCTGTGTTCCTTCCAATCTTCCAACTCTGAGATTCACGGTATAGAGGGACCTGAAGTTTCCATATCCCTGCATTGGCCTAGCCACTTGCTSTACAGCCAAGATCACTCCTTGGCTTTCTTGCCATATCCTTGGGATAGAGAGCTCTGCGTGACATCCTCTATAATGAACCTGGAGGCAACAAGAAGATGCAAGAGCCCTAACTGCCTCTGCTTTCTCCTCTCGTGGGAAGTGGCTGAGGACAGCTAACCCAGAGCAGCTCCAGCTGCATCAATGTGTTAGAATGTTGTAAGCCAGGAAGACACCTTGGTTTGTCACATTCACCAATTTATCACAAATATTCATTTGCAAAGCTGAGCTTTCAAAAAGCCTATGTCACCTATTAACTGGGCAGGATCTGACCAGGGGCCATTGAGATCCTACAGCCCTAGAAGGCCCTGATGCTATTTTCTATACTGTAAGTTTTCAGGTAAAACTGCACTTTAACACATTTATTTCTGGTTTTCAATAACATCTAATTGKTTCCATTAATTTTCTGTGCCATGCAGTCATCTTAGATATGCTGGAAGCACACCATRGAGCCAGCCCATTCTGTGCCTAGGTAGGAATGCAAAGTCACCATCGCCAAGTAAGTATTGATTATTTAAACAGCATGTTTTATTTATGAAACAGTTGCAGAAATGCATAAGACCAACCTACCTCACAGGGATGTTGTGAGGCTTTCACGAGCATTTATGACCTTGGGAAAGACCAAGACGCCCTGTAAGTGCTTAGTAGTATTTTAATAAAGATATGAATATTTTCCTYCAGAGTGACTGGATATTTGAAGATGCCTTTGGGAGCACATGCACAAGAAGGTACAGCAACAGCAGTATGGAAGCCAAATTGATTTTTGTTGCAGTAGAGGATCTCTGAACAAAAAGGCATGGGTTACAGTCTTTAAATTTATCCCACCTTGAGCTACTCCAAAGTTCCCAGTTTACCAAGCAACCCAGGAACTGTGTGAGACTTGTGCCCAGTTTCACACAGGCACAAGTCTCATCTGCATGGCAGCACCTCTACTCTGCCCAACGCTCAGCTTCCAAAACCTGAGCAAGCATCAACCCCCACTTGGCAACACTCTGCTGGCTTCTGGCACTCCCCACATCCCTCCTTCAAATGTGAACACACAAACTGCCCTCACAGGMTGGCCTGGCAGCTGCCCCCTCACATCCCCTACGCTGAAGAAAATCCTCTAATGCTCTTTAGCCCTCTTAAGCTGATCTGCATCTTGCACCAGGTGAGGGGCCTGCTGAAGCTGCTGTAATAACAAAAGATCTAATGAGGAAGCAGGACTGTCACTATCTACCACCCCACCTCACRCCACAGTGGTGCATTGATAGTCCCTTTAATAGCTCAATGCAAATAATCCATTTTCAAAGCCTTTAAACACCAGTCCCTGGGATTCTGTGCTGTAGGTATGTGCTATCCTACCCTGTCCTTGGAGAGAGGAGCCCTGCATTGTGTGCAGTTGCTGTACCTGAMCTTGGAGCCCCAGGCATTTGGTGGTGCACATACGAGGTGCAGCASTGGGCCTGTAAACTTCTTTTTTGGAAGGTTTTGTATGGTTTTACTTTAGTCCAATGCCTTCTCAAACTTGTAAGGCTGTTGCAGGCCCTTCCTGCACTTCAGATGCAAGTGGCAGAATTCCTGCTGAAGCACGACGGTCTCTTCCCGTGTTTCTGGTACAATCACAGTGGAGAAAGGGTCTTCYTTTGTTTCATCTTTTGGACTCGCTGTCAAGGGAGGTGTCTTAATCCTTTCCTGTGCTGGTAGTTAAAGTCTAACCCCTCYGTAACAAGCAGTAGTTTCACTGTGCCAGCATAGCACAAAACAAGCTGTTCCGGGAGAGCTTTACAAGGAATTGCAAGACCCTGCAAATTAGCACAKGGGAGCAAATCGAAATGTATAGTAGAGTTCATTAGTATAGCATCTATCTCTTACCAAGAATATTCCCGATCAACATTTTTTTAAACTTGTTCCTGCCACTGTGGAGGAGTCGCTTATGCTTTTGCTGACATGATCCCTTGACTAATATTTATTTCATGTCTAAGTAAGGAACTTGTATTTTGGTTGCTATAGTCTGCAGTCTTGCAGCTCTGCTTTGCTTTTCTCTGGAGTGTGACTCTTCTTTTACTTCCTTTTTTTTTTAAAAAAAAAAAAATCTTTTTACACTGCAAGTTTGAAGTACTTCCTTGGGTCACAGACCAGCCTTGTGCAGGATTCCCAGTGTATCACAGACCCAGTTAGCCTGGTTGAGCAGAAATAYTTTATTAAAAMCWTGTTTCCCATTTCTCCACGTGCTGGAAACAATACCAGCAYGTGCTGGTAGTGTCATTGCCCAGGCTGGTGTCCACTGAGTTACCTCTTGACTGTCAGTGCACCGGTCCAACCAAGCTTTCCTTCCAGGTCSTTTCCTCAGGGTGCGTGACCGTCACATCCTAGAAACCTCCAGGGCTGGCTGTCTTTTCTCRTTTTCACTTTCCAGGACAGGCTGATTATGAAGATCAATAAAGAGTTTGTGGATTAAAACACCAAAAAAACATCCCAGTGTTGGAGCTACAAGTGGGATCCACCACCAGCCATGTCCAGCCCTAGAAGAAACACAGAACAGCCTTCAGGTGAGCCAGCCAAACCACTGCCATGCTGCAAGCCAGGCTATTCTTCCTTGCAGGAGCTAACTATTGTGAAAAAAGAGAGTTTCACGAGGGCAAYGGTTCTCMCTGTCAAAAAGCTGGCTGCATTAGGGCAGGGACTCTTAAGGGCTACATGGAAATTCTTCTCAGTGAAAGAAAGTTTCTTGATGGTTTCCAGGGGCTTCATATTATTGCATATGAAATCCATGGTCTCTCTGCATCTTTGGGTGCAGGAAGTAGAARCCCTTCACTACAGACAGACACAGAAAGCATAWGCAATGTGCACAAAGTAYMACGRACAGYAGGRAAATTAAGCCAGTAGTCCTTCCCAGAACTGTGGTTTAACCACAGTTRAACCTCCTACCAGGTTTAACCTACCAGTCATGAATTCCTGCAAAGTGTAATTGGTGGTAAGAAATTCCTTTGCAGGATGCCAGGAAATACACTTTGCAGGACACCTTCTACCTTTGCAAGGCACAGRCTAATACTCACCCTTGATTCACTCTTCTCACTTACACCATAGTCATACAAGCACCTAGTTGTTGAAGCGTTAGGAAAATGCAGTTTGGTTTTCAATTATTTCATCTTCATCTGCTGCTTTAGAGAAAGCCAGGTGAATACCCTGGCACATTTAGCTTAAACATATTGAGCACTGAGAGTCTACATCRCAGGCACGGTGTCAAACAGGTAACTCACGTGAAGACGTCCACTCCCCAGCCGGCAATGGCAGTGAAGATCCTGGGGGGCAGGTCCCTGGAGGGGTTCATGGARYWGCCCGTGTTCATCCCCATCGASAGRCYAATTCCTASGAYCAGSATACCTGTGAGCAGGGCCTGTGTCCCCTTSAGGGCTGCATTGTTTTTCTCATCATGGATGACTAGAATGCCCAAGAACAGCATCGTGGTCGCTATAAACTGCAGGGGCAGGAAAGGGAAAGCAGGTCAGTCGTGAGAA